GTCAAGATTAGATGAAGTACCTTTAGAAAACTACACGAGGCCAAAAATAATTACCCGTAACATGACGATTTATGTTTATGAAAGTGCGCATGTCAATATTTGGTGTCTGTGCGACAGTGGAAGGCTATTGAACATTAAATGGAGAGGTATATTGATTTTATTTTACATGGAACAATTCTTTCATTTTTGTTTGATACATTCAATAAATAATGGTTTAATGTTTTAAAACTAAACTTGGTATTTGACAAAATAGTGTAATGGATCTAAATCAATAAATGTAATCGGAACGTAGCTTATAACCTACATTTTTGTGTTCTTTTTCTCTTTGTTGTGGAAAAATATTACAGTCGGCAAAGTCAGAAACTAAATTAAAGCCGGTAGTCTCGACGAAGAGTCATAATTTCACGAGTTTTGACCGAAAATCGCATATTTAATTTAATAAATTTTAATATATTTTCGATTTCGAATTATCTAATATAATTATTCAGTCGGCATCGGCTGCAGAGTGGTAAAGATCGTTAACCACTTGCCCTAAGTAACGCACGAAGGGGCACCTGAGGTCTTACGCTACTAGTAAAACTGGAACATCGTCATATGACATTTACAGTGTTGGTGCGACGTCAAATGAAACAGCCCAATCACACAAACTAATTCTCGGCTTGGAACACAAACAAGCTTAATAGATTCCGGGTTGTCGGGCTTGTCTTATGGAAGTTTTAGTTGATTTCTCTACACTTTTATGCTTCCCAAAAACAATTGGGGAGCTAAGAGTCAACACTTTCATCCGTAGTTCTGTATTTCTGTACTTACGTAGATAGATACCAACGTTGGTCCTCTAACTTATAACAGAATACTCGGTTCAATGCTACCCTACATCCTTTATTTAACGATGTCTTCCATATATGACAGGTATATTTCTACATTGGACGACGTAATGCTTAACTAGGGTCATGGTCAAGGCCACTAGTGTTAGATACAGATTTAAGCTTGTACAAGCATTATTTATTAAATGACATTTTATTATTTGGCTATTACTACAGCCCATCCCATTTCCATTCACGTTGCCGTTATAAACTTTTACAGTTGTCATTTTTTATATTTCTTAATTGATTACCTTCATACCTGGACACAGCAATCCTTTGAACAAGACTTTCATGTCGACCAACTTGACCTTAACTCATAAATGACCTTGACCTACAAGATAGAATTAAAGAATTTTACATAACATTTTCTATACTTGGCTATAAATTTGTTATTTACGATTGATTTGTTTTTATAGTTGAACACAATAAGTCTTAGTTGTCTTGTCGACCCTTGAGTAAATTGTGTTAATTATGACCTTCACTCATCCATGACATTAACATTGAAGGTGAAAATAATGAACTTTGACAGATTTTTGCTTTAAGTGGCTACAACATTTTTTGTATGTTTTTTTTTTTAAATATATAAATGAAATTTTCTTCATATTTAAACAGCTGCATTTAGGACATGTCTTAAGAAGATCAACGTTATTTTGACCTTCAATTATAACTTAACTTGTTCAAACTATTGTAATTTCCCATTTTAGGTATAATAAGCTGTAACTTTGTGTATGTTATGCATGGTTTGTCCCACAGGCACGAGTATCGGACCTGGGAAGAAAAAATATGACCAGATTGATAACAAAAACCTGTGTTCATCTTAAAAGTGTCAAAAAAAACCCAAAAATGTAAATAATGACCCCCTTTAAAAATATACTATAAGTTAAGAGAAGGCCGGAAACTCCAGATACGAGCCTACGAGCAAGGGATTCATTTCCCGGGCCGTTGTGAAAACAATTGGCCAGAGAATTAAATAAAACTTTTATCACTATTTCACGTTTATATTTAGCTTCAAAATGAGACCAACCCCAAGTCTCTAGCCCATCCCGTTCATGAAATATCTATCAGGAAACGAGCGAATTCGTGCTAAAAATCCTTGGTAGACAGAATTGCGGCACAACAATTCGACAATTCGGTACGTAAACATAGACTAATACATGTATGTCAGCTGAGTACGGGTCAAAATCACTTGAATTTACTAAATAATATTACTAAATACATTAAGTTGGACCACTCACAATTGTCAGGAGCATCTAATACACACGAGATTCGAGTTTCAAACATTTACACGGTCTTTCAATCGCTTTCTACGCCATTAGGCATCCTTGTGTGAAACGTTACGGTTTTCGTTGCTATTGGCCAATCAGAAGACTCGTTACAAAATATCGAACAGCTGATTGACAATGGCGTAGAAAGGAATGTAAAGACCGTGAAAAGGTTTGAAATTCGAATTTTGCGTGTATCAGATGCTACTGACGGTTGTAAGTGGTCCAACTTAATGTATTTAGTAATATTATTTAGTAAATTCAAGTGATTTTGACCCGTACTCAGCTGACATACATGTATTAATCTATGTTTACGTACCGAATTGTTGTGCCGCAATTATGTCTACCAAGGATTTTTAGCACGAATTCGCTCGTTTCCTGATAGATATTTCATGAACGGGATGGGCTAGAGACTTGGGGTTGGTCTCATTTTGAAGCTAAATATAAACGTGAAATAGTGATAAAAGTTTTATTTAATTCTCTGGCCAATTGTTTTCACAACGGCCCGGGAAATGAATCCCTTGCTCGTAGGCTCGAATCTGGAGTTTCCGGCCTTCTCTTAACTTATAGTATACATTTTGTATTTTTAAAGGGGGTCATTATTTACATTTTTTGTTTTTTTGGACACTTTTAAGATGAACACAGGTTTTTGTTATCAATCTGGTCATATTTTTTCTTCCCAGGTCCGATACTCGTGCCTGTGGTTTGTCCCAATACTTTGGAACAACAATCTATTATGGATAAAACAACAAATACGATTTAATTGAACTTGACTTTTATTTGACATTTGCACCAAAGATGAAATTAGTGAATTTTGCTACAATTGGCTATAAATATGTTGTTTATGAATTTGATTTATACCATTCATAATTTTGCTATCGTTTTACATATTTGATGTATATTTGCATTAAGGAAACAAAATCCAGATGTCAAATTATTATTTGACAAAAACGAATGTTGAATTATTCAAATGTGTCTTAACCCTATAAATGACATTGTCTATCAATGTCAGGTTATTAAATTTATGAAACATTGCCAAAACTTTGTTATTAATTTAGGATTTGATTCATACTGGAACCAATGAGTTTTTTTGACGGAACTGAACATTTAAAAACCAAAACAAGAGACTTGCTCTATAAATGACATTAACCATTATGGTCAAATTATTGTATTTTGCTTCAATAATTTTGTTATTTATTTGTGGATCTTATAAAGTTGTATATGAATTCCTTAAACTTTGCAATGTTCCGTGCAAGTAGAACATTCAAAGACTAAAAGATGTATATGCGTTTATTTTATATATTCTCTTATTTTGTCAAGCTAAAAATCCATTTTATCTAAATCAACCGGTGCCAATAAATCCAAATCAGTTCAGGAACGGGAACATATTCCAAATCAGCCCGAAACGATTAGGCACCGTGAATAGTGACTTCCAAAGCAACCAGTAATTTCCACAGCACACATTGAGTTTCCACAGCAAACAATGACTTCCATAGCATACCATTTACTTTCGTAAGCAAAACTTATTTAAAAGAACTGGTTTCTTAATAGCAACATCTGCCGTCTATAACAACCATTGTGTTTTCATGGCCACCTGTGCCTTTACATGACAACCAGTGACTTCCATAGCAAGCATTGACTTTGCATAGCAACCTGTGATTTTCCCTTCAAGCATTGACTTTTATATCAGGAAATAGATCTACCACTGACTTTTAAGGTAATACCACTCTAATGGGCACTATAAGGAACTAAAAAATTGACATCATTGGTCAGATATATACCTTAAAGTACACCTTTATGCAAAAGTTTACCGTACGTAAATCAAGTTATGGCCACTTTTCTGAACTCAAGCTAGAATGTTATGAGGGCCTTTTTTTTTAGAAATGCGGAACCTTTAAATAATCTGCAATAACATTCTAATGAAAAATGTTTTCCCATTAATTTTTGGCAAGAAACAAAAAGTACCGTTCAGCTAACAATCCACATAAGCAAAATTATGGTTTCTACCTAAAATTTATGAAATATGTATAAAAATGTTACCTTACCAAACCCATTTTTACCACGTGTCTGACCATTTTCCTACTTAGGGAGCCTTATTAAAAAAATCCTTAAAATTTACCCAAATGAGTGCCTGTTTTCAAAGTTTCCTTAAATTTTTAAAGAAGTATATTGGTTGATCTTGTAAAATATGAAATATTTTTACCGTCTAGTTTCGATTTTATTACACTTTGAAAATATCAGGTACCATATTTATTACTAGATTTAGCATAATTTAGCCAATAAATACCTACATAAATTAAAAAATCAAAATTAAATTTTTTTTCTTTCCAAATGGGACATGAGAGATACATAAATACTGTTAAAGTAAAAAAAAGAAAGAAAAAAAAAGTTGACCCTTCTGGGGATTGAACCCACGGCCCTCATTTTCAATGAAGTTAACAGTAGTTTTAGCCTATTTGAATACTCTTCAAGCATTAGGATGGTAATACCTTAAAGCAACCAGTAACTTTTAAAGTAACCATTGATTTTGTATAGAAACTATTGACTTTCCTTAGCAAAGCAACATTCTCATTTGCACTAATTCAGATGTAGATATGTACTAATAAAGTTTCAAATTTAGACATATTACATCTGCTAATAATATTACATTATCCTAGTCATTGAGTGACCTTATACTCAGATGATTGATATAAGGGTCGTTATGGTCTTCTTGTTTCACTCATTTGTTACAAATATGGTTCTCTATTATTATGAAATGTCCAAGAAAAATTATTTTACCTTGGTTTAATTTTCCTTCTTTGACTAAAAAGTTATTATGTCTTGAGTGATTAATTCAATTAATTTAACTATTTATTTTACTGCATATTTTGTCAGAGAACATCGAAAACGAAAGTTAGATAACAGGAAGTACTCGTAAACTGGTAAAGAGACATATCCAAACAATGAATCACCAGAGTGAGATAGAGAAGAAGAAATACAGAAACTGGGTGAAAGGTGGATTGGCATATAAATACCTAAAACAAGGTCTAGACGGTTTTAGTGATGATGTTGTTGAGCAAGAACATAGCAGAATATTAAGTTCTATTAATTGCACACCAGGTACCATCTGTTATCAATGCAGTATTGGGAATTTGCGACCAATACATGCATGCATAACAAATTCTGCAGGTAATAATGAATGCCCCTGGGGACAGCGCAAGTGTAATTGTTTGCACTTAAAGAAGAAAAAATGTCGTCTTAAAATATGTGATTTCATTATGGAAGAAATAATAAAAAGCCATGGAGCCACCCCACCAACACCGAACTGGGCAAATACAGATATAAAAAAGTGGTGTTTAGAGGCATGGGAGGTCGCCAAATGTTTCATTAATGCACCTGGATATTCGGACAAGACAAAGGCAGCTGATATAGACATATCTGGATTACTCCATGTCTTTATTAATAACACCAGTCTTCATTCTCATTTAGCATGCTCAATGGCTGGAAACAATATTTTTATCAAGGTAATTAATTAATCGTACTTAAGAAAATAATATCATGAAAGCGAAAAGCATTGTGTTTGTAAAATTTTATTAAATCTGTGCTAGGGGGCATGAGGGATGTTGCGCTTTTACATTATGCCACATGCAAAGACTCAATCGAACCGAGTCTGCCATTTTCATGTAATGCTTCCGATGGATCACCTTTTTCCAGATATTTAACAGAAAAGCTTTTTCACGAAATTTCTAGGTACGAGAAAGAAGAAACAAATTGTTCCATTCCGCTACTATGGAAACTGAAGAAGGGGAAGTGACTGAATGCATAGATGATATCGTTGAAATCCTCGAAGACCAAAAAGAACTCAGAGGAAGGCCTGAAGCTCAAGAAGCTGTCAAAAAACTTAAACAAGTAAATAATGTTGCCTTATCATATGTTCAGATAGCCTTTTTTTCGTTGCACGATTATAAAATTTGTTTTTGAGATATAAATTAATGTATTTGTGTTCTTTCAAAGTTATAACACTTTATATCCATTAAAGAAGAAACTGGTTTTATAAGATTCTTTCTGAAGTTAAAGTTTATTTTAAAATACCGTTAAAGATAAAAATCTATAATTATTGTAGAGGTTATTTGTCATATTGTAGAACTTGATACGTTTACAAAAATAAATTTGTAAAGGTAGATTTCTATGAATGCCTTTTAAAAAGGTCAAAGTTATTTTCAATGTCAAAAATTAGAACACTTTACTTTAAGTATAATTACACAACTTAGTACCTACAATTCAGTTTCACAGAAGAAGAAAAAATGTACATTAACATTTATTGTCTTGTTATGATCCTTCCAAAACAGCTCACTAATCTTAGAAATTTCACTACATATTCAGGTTAAGATTCTACGATATTTCATCTTTGTATTGGTGCATGTATACAAATTTCCTTGGTTCGCCGTGCTTACAATTAACGATCGATAAATTAACAACAACAACAACAACAACAACAACAACACACAAAAAAACAACAAAAAAACACAAAACAACAAACAAACAAAAAACATTATTTTCGCCCTAGGTATTTAGAAATGATTCGAATGATTGGAACCATTGTTAAAGTAAAAAACAATCCGTTTAATTTTTACCTGTAATAACCTCCGCATAGGTTTCCCAAGAACTGAAATCTATTAATAGTTCTATCTATAAATAAGCGCACATACAAATGCTTTTTACATTTGCATTGTAGATTGCATTCACCCTGTGTGGTGCTACTGTCATATATGTTTTTCAGGATTTTAAATGGAGGTTACTCTCTGAATCCCATAAATCTAACAATCATTTTAACAGAGTAATAGTCTTTTTTTAGGTTAGAAAAATATTAATTTAAAAGAAAATCAATCTTTAGGACAACAAATATATACTTGTGGTATTCATTAAACATATAACATCAGTTTTCAAAAGAAAACAGAAGATATTCATATGAAACCTTAATAATTTACATGTCTTTAGTCATAATTGGAAGTCTCTATCCAAGTTCCATAAAACCCAGGCATAGAATCTTGCTACTCTATTTTACCCTATGTAAATAATAAAAAAAAAACCTTGGTCCTTTTTTGACAGCATTTATTCATGTCCTTTTCATGTCCGTCGCACCCAGTGCTTTCAGCACTTTGATTCACATTTGGCGTCATAAACATCTTGGCATCTGATCAGATCATAATATTATGTTTATTTTTCTAAACCAGCAATACAAACAACACAAACATATACAATTTATCTGATGAAAAACACAATTACTCGGTCAACATTTAATAAAATCGAACGAAAGCATACAACACACTGATATACATTGCTAGAAACATTCGCGTTTAACATGAATTGACAGAACTAGTGTCACCGCGATGATCGCGAAAATTTATCACGGTATATAATGCTTTTCCCTAATATGAATTTACGAGTAGCTGCTTGTATGTAGAATTCAAAATAAACAGTTTTCACTAAAGTGAAATGACTATCCAATACGTACATTTAGCACAGCATTGTTATAGAAATTGTTGTTTGACATGACTTATATATGGACTTTCAAAAATCTTATCATATGTTTTAAAACAATATCAATGTTTTTCATTATCTCATATCATAATATGAGTACAAATTTTCTTAGTCCAATATACAACCGCACGTGTATATAGATAATCGCATTTATATTAAAGTGATTTACAGTGTGTGTCTTAGGTTTTTTGCTTTCTAATTTTCTTTGTATTGTCAGTTGAAGGAAAGCAAATTTGTAATAACAACCAACAATGAGGTAGATGTGTGTAAAGAAGCATTATTGTTTGTAAGCCAAAAGTCAGATGAGCTTAAACAAGTGATTGAAGATGGAAAAAGAGAAGTCGAATGTGTTATTGACAAAGATATGGCAAAAGCTAAGGAAAGCATACAAAGAGCTGAAAATGATGCAAAAAAGGAAGTGAACGATCACAGCAAAATTCTATACGAAAGAGTAAAAAACCTGGAAACAGACGTACCTGACAAAATGGATAAATTAAAAACAGACATTTCTGAAAAATTCGGAAAAGTGGAATCAGTCATTTCTGTTCTGAAATCAGATGTTTCTTCTGTGAAAGAAGTATACCATTTTGTTATGATATCACTTTATTATACATTTCTATCTTATCCTCATTTGTCCACTGTCAAAGTGAATGTTTGTGATCAACTGATGCCTGCCTCTTATTATTTGTGCATGAATTTAAAATCATCAGTCTGGGCGACAGCAGTTCCATTTCTTATTGAATTGTAACCGCACTTACAAATAATAAGAATCAGTGCGTCTGGCTCTTTTTTTGATTTAGTTTGATATCAGAGTTTTAGTAGAGATGTACTTTAAAAATGTGTATTTGCATTGGCGTTTACACGTTCCCTTTTCCCAGAAAACAAAACTGGGATATAGTAAACTCGTCGAGATATTTACACAGTGACCATACCAGATGTGCCTTTAGCCACGAAATATCTTGTTTTATTTACAACATTGAACAATAATCATTGGCGTTTCTTATAATCAAATTATTTTCATACAAATTCAAATCATTTATCATGTTAACAACATTTAAAGAAAGAAATGTAAATGATCCCATTTAATTTTAGTACTTGTAGCATAGCCAACCAATAAACACATGTTCATTTAATTTTTGTCTCTTAAACAAAATTTATGTTACAATATCGTTAATGACACTATTGTCTTACATTGCTTTCAGCGAGTGACAGCACTAGAAAGCAAAGTTAGAGAACTTGACAGTATACGAGATATATACAAGAGGCATTTTGATTACGTCAAAGGGAAACAAGGTAAACAAGTTTATATCCTACAAATATTAATTTGAGAATGATTAGGACACAAGTGTAAACGATAGGTTTTACTTTTAGATTTGAATGTGGAATTAATTTATATTTAATTTACTAGCTTAAAGCTTTCATGGAATAACATTATGATGTCGGTCGTATGTCAACGTATAGAATATGCAAATGGCCGTTAAAGTTTACAGGAACTATATATATAAAGCTTAACCCTATGTCACAAATTTACTAATAAGGGGATTTAGTGTGTATGCGACCGGATAGCTCAGTCAGCAGAGCCTCGGTATGGTATTCCGAGAGTCCCGTGTTCGAGTTCAGGACAGTCTGCTCATTTTCTCACCCGAGATATCTAGCGCCAAACGGGGGAAAGCTCTCTTGACCCGATGAAATTTAGGGACGAATATTTCAATAGAGTGGGGAATTACGTAAGGGTATTGAACTGTTCACTACTTGGGGAAGATAGAGTGTAAGCAGCAGAATGCTCTGTTAGTAGAGAGGGGGTACGGTTTTCCGAGGGTCCGGGGTTCGAGTCAGGGATAGACTGCACATTTCTCACCCTGTGATATATATAACAATATTTTTTTTCTTTTGATATCTTTGTCAGCATAAACAACACTTATAACTAAAATCTAAAAAATTAAAAAAGAAATTTTTAATGTACAGATTATCTAAATACTGGGATGAAATTCTTTCCATGTTTTATGTGAACTTTGCATGATCTAAGAACATGATAACAGAAACATTTAAAGCGTGAAATAGTTTGGAGTTAATGATCTTGTTATTGAGTAATAAGCAGTTGATTTAGATATTTTTGCTTTATTTCAGGGTAGATAACTAACAAAGAAGTGAAATTAGACCTTATTTTTCTGTTTCTGTCTGTATGAGCAACTATATTAGTTTTAAAGCTGCACGCCTCCAGATGAGCAAAAATATTTCGATAAAATCAAACCTGAGAAAAATGTACTAAGACTTTAGGAAAAACATAAAGATTCAATATTCTAGTAACAATTTACATGTTACATGTTTAATGACCGAGTTTTCAGTATTTATAACTATATTTCTACTGCGTTACTAACGCAGTAAGGGCTATTTCTGCATATTTTTACCTCTTTATGGTAATTAACATGGGTTGAAAGTGCCATTGATAATGTGTAAATTGCATTCTTATGGTAACTTCACAATATTATACTGTTAAATACTTTTTTAAATTTTCATGAAAAGTTATATCAATGTGGAGGCGTGCTGCTGTTAATCTAACTGTGAACAGAACAAAAGAGAACAATATACTTCGTTCCATAACAATAGATTAAGGGGCCATGACCTATTTTTGCAAGTTGGATTTATCTTAAATTTGTCATAATAACTTCATTTATTTAATAATATCTTCCATATTTCATTGGTGGATACCCTTTTATGATACTCTAACTTTGGGTAGAGTTTGTGAGAAATGCAGTAAAGGTCCACGTTACTGATGTAAAAATACTTGTTTATATTTTTGCTTGTAAAACATTTATTTATAAACTTATGTCTTTCATTTAACAGTTATATGTCTAGGATGCTCTTTTCCCTAAAAATGGATTAATGGGTCATTTTTGTGTCACACAGTCCAAGATAATGATCTTGCATTTATATATACTTGATTAACTTTTTTTGGTAAATCGAAAGTTTTTAACTTTATCAATAAGAATGACAATTTTTTTATATTTTTTTTTCATTCACAAAAACTCATAACCTGTCAAGTTAATATGATCCCAGAAAAGAAAAGACACCATACAAGCACTTTGTCCGTCTGTCCGTCCGCATTTTGTGTGGGGTATAAATATGAAACTTCAAAAGATTTTAAGAAGAATCTTTGGAGGTAGAAAGATCTTATTACGTAAAATGCAGTGCATAAGAACCAGAACTCTGTCTTGCCTACTTTTGCAGTTATTGCCCTTTTGAAAATGTACACTCGGAATTTTGTCCTTCACATATCCCTGAAACTGCAAGATGTATCAACAAAATGTAAGTAGGTAGATAAATCGCATTGACTAAAAGTGTAGTACAAAAATCGTAACGATGCCTTGCAAAAAAAAGTTATGAGTTATTGCCCATTTTTGTCGAGCCCGCTTACAGAGAGCTCGATGTCCGGATTATGCTTGTCCCGGCTGTAAATCTGTCATTAATCAGCACCATAACTTTACCACTAGCACGTGAAAGTTCAAATAACCTGGCACAAATGGCAAGTCGCGCACAAGAACTGGTGGCTGAATCAAATGTCAATTTCGAGAAAATGGGTCTCAAACAGGTTGTCAACACCATATCTCTGCCACTAGCTGATGGGATTTCAAATAATTATCCCCCGCCGAAAATTTTCGGCGGAGGATATAGAAATAGTCTCCGTCCGTCCGTCCGACCTTCCGTCCTTCCGTCCGTCCTTCCGTCCGACATTTTTGTCCGGAGCATATCTCTAAAAGTATTTGAGTTATCAACTTGAAACTTCATAGGTGGATAGACCTCATTGAGGAGGAGTGCAGTGCACAAGAATGATAACTCTACCTTGCATGATTTTTGAGTTATTGCCCTTTGTTATTTTTCAAAATTGATTTTTGTCCAGAGCATAACTCCAAAAGCCTATGAGATATTAACATGAAACTTCATAGGTGCATAGATCTCACTCAGGAGGTGTGCAGTGCACATGAATGATAACTCTACCTTTCATAATTTTTGAGTTATTGCCCTTTGTTATTTTTCATACCTAATTTTTCACCTGAGTGGAGCATAACTCAAAAAGTGTTTGAGATATCAACATGAAATGTCATAGGTGGATAGATCTTATTGAGGAGGAATGTTATATGTGGATATACCTCATTGAGGAGGAGTGCAGTGCACAAGAATTATAACTCTACCTTGCATGATTTTTGAGTTATTGCCCTTTGTTATTTTTCAAAATTGATTTTTTTCCAGAGCATAACTCCAAAAGCCTATGAGATATTAACATGAAACTTCATAGGTGCATAGATCTCACTCAGAAGGTGTGCAGTGCACATGAATGATAACTCTACCTTTCATAATTTTTGAGTTATTGCCCTTTGTTATTTTTCATACCTTATTTTTTTCACCTGAGTGGAGCATAACTCAAAAAGTGTTTGAGATATCTACATGAAATGTCATAGGTGGATAGATCTTATTGAGGAGGAATGTTGTGTGCAAGAATGATAACTCTTCCCTATACAATTTTTGAGTTATTGCCCTTTGTTTTTTTATGCTATTTTGTCCAGAGCTTATCTCAAAAAGTATTTGAGGTATCAACTTGAAACTTCAAAGGTGGATGGATCTCATTAAGGAGGAGTGCAGTGCTTAAGAATGATAACTCTACCCTGCATTATTTTTGAGTTATTGCCCTTTGTTATTTTTCAAAATTAATTTTTGTCCGGAGCATAACTCAAAAAGCCTTTGAGATATCAAAATGAAACTTCATAGGTGCATAGATCTCACTCAGGAGGTGTGAACTGCACAAGAATGATAACTCTACCTTTTATAATTTTTGAGTTATTGCCCTTTGTTATTTTTCATACTTAATTTTTCAATTCAATTTTTTTCTCGCAAAAAGTATTTGAGGTATCAACTTGAAACTTCATAGGTTGATAGATTTTACTGAGGAGGGATGCAGCACACAAGAATGATAACCTACCCTGCATTATTTTTCAGTTATTGCCCTTTGTTATTTTCATTCATCAGTATTCACATAGGTTTCAAATCAGTAATCACTATAGCCATCAGTTTTCATTACCAAAAGACCTCTTAAAATATAATTATTCTGTTCTACTACATATACATTCTTCCAATGAGCATACACATTCGGCGGGGGACGGCCATGTTGACATGGCTCTTGTCTGGCACAAATATTGATCATAATGAGATGTCGTGTCGCACGGAAGAACCGTGGCTAGTTCAAAGGTCAAGGTCTTACCACCTTCCGGATTAGGCCTTGCCAGGTTGTAACTCTGTCCTTAGTTGGAAAATTTCAAAGAACTTGGCACAAATGTTCAAAATAATGAGACGGCATGTCGTGCGCAGGAACATTGTGACTAGGTCAAAGGTCATACTTAAAGGTCAAATGCAAAAACGATGTCGCAAACAGTTTGTCCGCACCATTACTCCATCACTAGCAGGTGGAATATCAAATAAAGTGGCACACATGCTCAACATCATGAGATGTTGTGTCGGCGGCAAAAGCCATGTGGCTAGATCTAGCTCTTACTCTAAGGTCAAATGCAAAAAAGGTCTCAAATAGCACTCTAAATGGTTGAATTTTAAATATCATGAGACGGCATGTCGCGGTTAAGATCATTTTTATACCCCCGAAAACGAAGTTTGGGGGGTATTATAGGAGTCACCCGGTGGTCGGTCGGTTGGTCGGTCGGTCGGTCGGTCCAGCGGTCCGTTGCATTTCCTTGTCCGGAGCTTAACTTGAAGACTAATGGTTGGAATTCAATATAACTTCATACAATGGTCTAGCACATTGAGAGGAAGTGCAGTGCACATAAACCATAACCCCATTTTGACTCATTGCAGAGTTACTGCCCTTGTTACTTTTCCTTGTCCGGAGCATAACTTGAAAACTACTGGTTGAAATTCAAAACAACATCATACAATGGTCAAGCGCAATAAGGAGAAGTGCCATGCACAAAACCATAACTCCATTTTGATTAATTACAGAGTTATTGTCCTTTGTTACTTTTCCATAGCTTTCTTTTGTCCGGACTATAACTTGAAGACTAATAGTTGGAATTCAATATAAGTTCATATAATGGTCAAGCACATTGAGAGGAAGTGCAGTGCACAGGAACCATAACCCCATTTTGACTCATTACAGAGTTACTGCCCTTTGTTACTTTTTCTTGTCCGGAGCATAACTACTGGTTGAAATTCAAAACAACTTCAGACAATGGTCAAGCACAATAAGGGGAAGTGCCATGCACAAGAACCATAACTCCATCTTGACTAATTACAGAGATATTGCCCTTTGTTACTTTTCCATTGCTTTTTTTGTCCGGAGCATAACTTGAAGACTAATATTACTTCATACAATGGTCAAGTACATTGAGAGGAAGTACAGTGCATGAGAACCATAACTCCATCTTGACTAACGACAGAGTTATTGCCCTTTGTTACTTTTCTTTGTCTGGAACATAACGTGAAAACTACCGGTTGGAATTCAATACAACTTCATGCAGTTGTCAAGCACATTAAGAGGTAATGCAGTGCACAAGAATTATAACTCAATTTTGACAAATTACAAAGTTATTGACCTTTAATACTTTTCCTTGTCCGGAGCATAACTTAAAACATACTGGTTGGAATTTAAAACAACTTCATACAATGGTCAAGCACAATTAGAAGAAGTGCAGTGCACAAGAACTATTACTCCATTTTGACATATTACAGAGTTAATGTCCTTTGTTACTTTTCCTTGTCCGGAGCATAACTTGAAAACTACTGGTTGGCATTCAAAACAACTTCATACAATGGTCAAGCACAAGAACTATAACTCTGTCCAGAGTAATTATAGAGTTATTGCCCTTTGTTACTTTTCCATTGCTTTTTTCTTGTCCAGAGCATAACTTGAAAACTACTAGTTGGAATTCAAATCTATTTCATACAATGGTCAAGTATATTGAGAGGAAGTGCAGTGCACAGAAACCATAACTATTTTTTACCAATTTTTTGCCCTTTGTCACTTTTAATTGTCCAGTGCATAACTTGAAAATTAATGGTTGGAATTCAATGAAACTTTATACAATGGTCAAGGGCAGTGAGATGAAGTGTAGTGCACAAGAACAACAACTCTATTTGGACTTATTACAGTTATTGCCTTTGTTACTTTTTTGTCCAGTGCATAACTTTAAAACTAGTAGTTGGAATTCAATACAACTTCATAAATTGGTCAAGCGGAATCCTTGTCTTTCTGGACTTATAACAGAGTAATATAATAAAACTTCATCAATGGCCAACCACATTGAAAGGAAGTGCAACGTACAAAAACACAACTATCTTTAATTGCCCACAAGCATAACTCGATTTCAATTCTTTACAAGGTATTCTGTAACTGGTATCCGAAGCAGACTTGCGGGGGTATTAATCACATTTAGTGATAGTTCTTGTTATTAAGTAAAAGGTCATACCACAAGTTCAGAAGTAACAGCGGGCACGACATGCCGCCCTTGCGCATTTAGTCATTTTTGGTTCGACTTCTTTTAAGAAAATAAAAGAGGTTTTGTTAAAGTAATGTCGGCGTTCACTTTGCCGTTACCAGCTTCAAACTTAAACGTATATCATAACTTTTTTAAGTTCTTTGTGTAATGTAGTTCTTTGTGTAATGTATTCATCTTTGGCCACAACAACTTTTGGTATTAGACCTTCAACAAGACAAGACTAAACTTGATCTTAATGCATAAATGACGTTGACTTTAAATGTCAAATGTCTCAATTCTGTTTGATTTTTGCCGCTATGTTTTTTTTTCTTTTTGCAATAGGTGGCTATAACATTATTATTTTTGAATGGATTGTCTTCAAACTTTGACAGAACAGTATTGTAGCATAGACCTTTAAGTCAGCCAGACATACCCTTTTTTAAACATATATGACCTTGACCTTATCGATGTTTTGTCTTTTTTCGCTGTAACTGGCTATAACTGATTTATTAATGTATGGACAAAACATTCTGTAGGATAGGACCCCATGTATAAGCTTAACCGCCCTTCACAGGTCAAACTCCTGGGGGATTACAACAAATCTTCAACAAATCTTCACAGGATCGATCCAACCCTAGTTGTGCATATGACCATCACGTTCTGCTTCGCTTCACAAATGGTCCCCACAGCTATCAATAGAAAAATTTTGTCCCGGTTTAACTGCTGGCTTGATTTCGACATTATTTCAAATGAGTGATGATTACCGTACCTACTTCATAAATGAAATATCTTCATATTTGGACAAAACATCCTTTTGGATAAGACATTTTAAAAGGTTGATCTGTCCTTTACATTGAGCTTTAAATGCAAAGGTCAAATTATTGAATTCTATTAAATAACAAAATGGGTATAAATTTGTTATTTATATACGGATTTGATATATATACTTGGACAAAACAAGCATTTCTTCCAAACAAACATATTGAATAATTCAGAGGTGATCATGACTGACCGTCAATGTCAAATTAATGTCTAATAAATCTTATATTGAAATTTGGACCATGTGCACAAACTTTGATATAAGCTGACGTAGATTTTGAAGAAGTGACCTTCTTTTTATCCTTTTATGTACGGCTATGAAATATGGACGATGTGCATAGTTTTAGATGTAAAATTGAACTTTAATATATGCTAAACTAGATTTTTAAGAAGTGACCTTTTTCTTGTCCTATGATGTACAACTATAAAATTTTGACCATATGCACAGTTTCTGATGTAAATTTCAATATTTAACATTATAGAAATGAATAATATTTGGACAAACCAACAAGTATGCCTAGACCTAAGTATAATTTTAGGAAAGAAAGAACTTATAAAAAAATAATTAAAATATTTGTTTAATTAATTAATGTGTTTATTTTTAGACAAAGTAAAATATGCACCTATTTCGACTTTAGGTGTTGGAAAACAGTCTACTTATTTTCAATACCCTTTGAGATATTGCTCGGAAACTTTAAATACTTAATAGATCAATACTTTAATAGACCCACACTTCCTAGGCAAGGATATTCAAAACTAGCATCAATAGTCAAACGCCATGCCGTATGAACGGCTCTGCTTTAAGAATCCCTTTACTTAGACTAAAAATGTAATCAAATATGTTTAATGAAACTGCATAAAATATAGTAGTCAAGGAAAAAGATAAAACTAGAAGTCAAACAGCCCAAAATCATTTCATTCTTTAATATTTCTGTTATCATACTCTAAAATCATGTACAGTTTAAATAAATTGTGCAAAGTTTTTCTAAGACATGATTTACATTTGGCAATGAAATTGTTGGGGCTTCGTGGAATAACTTATGAAAGATCATATGTTGTCTTAATTGTCACGTTTAGATTGTTTTTGTAAATTATTACTTCTATTCAACTGATTATGTTATTCCAAACAATTGTTTAATTATTAATATATGCTCTATGTTAATTGGGCATTATGACGCAAAGAAAATCCAATGTGTACTAAGTATTGTTTACTTTCTGTTTCCTCATATTTGTATGTTTGTATACATCCACGTTGATGTGACATAAATGATACAATTCAAGCATTCAAAGTGAAGTAAGTATGAACTAACTTAAACTTAGCATTTAAGGTATCCCTCCTTAAAAGCAAATTATGACAAATATACTATACTGTATATGTTGAGAATTATTAAAACAACGCTTAAAAATCACCGCTAATATTATAAACACCCTACAATATTGAAATATTTTATTTTCTTCACAGAGCTACAAGATAATCTTGTTAACTATTACAAGACATATTATATGAGTACATCATTTTCACCTTTGAAGCAACAACATGATAGCTTTCACATTAAAGATGTATATGTAACTCCCGAGATAGCAGTAAACGAGGAAGATGAATCATTAGTGGATATAGAAAAAGACCAGGTAAAGAAGTTAGAGAAGAGATATATTAAAGGATACCATGAAATCTTTCATTCGAAAGAACAGCAAAATAAGAAGATTTATATATTAGGCGATGTTGGGTCAGGAAAGAGTACTTTCTGCAAAATGATGATATATAACTGGTGTAACGCGGTAAGTGGTAGAACCAATGAATCGATCCGTGATGAAAATGATCAAGAAACAACAGAAACCGTATCCAGTGATATAAATAAAGCACATGAGTATGATGATGTTAGTCAGGTGGGAGAGTATGAATTTCTGTTCTTTATTCCACTACAATATATGTCAGAGTTAAAGACTGACGACATTGTTGTTATGATTAAAGAATTAACAAGAGATCAAAGTTTCGAAACGGAGTTGATTGACAAAATATTTCAGGAAGACTCGGCACGTTGTCTTATCATCGCTGATAGTTTGGATGAATGGACGCCTCCAAAAGACATTGTGCGTAAACCACATGTAAGCTATGGAATACCAAACGGACACCTTGCTAAAGATGCAACATTTATCACATTATCTAGGCCATCAGCAAAAGGAATTCTTAATTTAAAAAACTCAAAGATTGATCTTAAGTTACAGTTATTAGGAATATCTAGTAGCTCAAAAAAATTGTTCATCGAGCGATACATTTCAAACACAAACTCAACCGGAAAGTCTTATAAAGAATTCATTAAAATTATGAAAACAAAGCAAATAAATCATGTAGAGAAAACTCCATTGCTTTTGCAACAACTGCTGTGGCTATATTGTTCCAATTTAGAACTTGGAAAGTCTGTTAGTGAAACTTATTGTCAGATTTTGAATATTATGTGTAATTGGTTAGAGCACAAAAATGACGCCAAAGATGGACGTGATGGTCAAAATGATGCAAAAGAAGATAAAAACATATTTTTGCCTGAAAGCTTGCAAAAATATCCAAGACTAAGAACCAATAAACGAGTTTTATTTCTATTGGGTGCTACTGCATTTGACGTTTTGACTTCCGGCTCCATTAAAAATATATTTGAACGACAGCATCTTCTGGAGAAAGGACTGACTGTAGATGATGTCACTAAGCTTAAACAATTTGGTATCTTAAAAGAAAGCAACCGCTTTGACCCAACTCAGGAAGATACACAATATTCTTTTATCCACATGTCTTATCTTGAGTTCTTTGCCGCTTTGTATGTGACTTCAAATAATAACATAAAAGAAAATCAAAGCTTTGGAGAGAAACGAGATAAAAAACAAAAGGTTTTAGAAAAGCTTTTTGGTACATGTAAATCTGCTAGTGACATTTTACAGTTATCTCATGTCATTAAGACGGTTTGTGGTTTGTCTCCCATCCTAATTGGTGATTTGTCTAAGCAGATATCATGTATTGTGAATGAGGATGCAGATATTTTACATCTAAGAAGACATGGGTATAAAAAGTCGTTCAGGAATGATGAAATTATTCAGATACAACGTCTTATGGTAAAATGTCTCAAAGAGTGTGGCTCTTTTGATACGACGATGATCAGTATAAGCGATCTTTGCATAAACGATATTGAACCCATGGGCAGTCAGTTTTTACAAAGAATCAACACAAATGATGTGATTTCTCTGAGTTTTGAAGAAACAACAAATACAAATGTGGTAGACTACATCACACAATGCAAACACCTGCAACACATTTATATCAAAAATGTTTCCTTCAGTAATGAAGAATTTTCATGTTTATCACAGCAAGAATGTGTTAAACAAATGACATTGCGTGGTGTAAAGGTTGAAGGTACTTCACAACTTGGTATACTTGACCTCTCTAGCCAGAAACAGCTTCAGATACTTCAGTTAATCAGCTGCACAAATATTAAAATTTCTAACCTTGTTACTGAACATCTTGAACAAGTGTGCATTAAAGACTGTCATAATGTATTAGATTTTAAACTTTTATCAAATGCCACCAGACTGACTGATGTCTACATTGAGACTTATTATAGAACTTGGGAAACATATCCTGAACGTCATTTCATGGATATGTCTAAACAGAATCATCTCAGAACACTTACACTCGTTAATAATCCTGGTATAGTAATTACAGGATTAAACGTTGAACAACTTGAAATGGTAAATATTCAATATATTGATGAACATACAACTTCAAAAGATAAGAAACTGTTATCGTATGCAAGCAAAACCATGGAACTTCACGTGAAAGACCTCACGATAAGTGAAGCAACACTTATACCGTTATTACAAAAGACAACTTTAAGACATGCGACATTGGATAATGTTAAATGTTACCAGGATACACATCTTCATATTGACCTGTCGGGACAGAATCATCTCCAAAAACTTACGCTTGTAGACAGCCCTAGTATAGTTATTACAAGACTAAACCAACACCACTTCAGCATGTATATATCGGCTACAGTAATCATTATGTAAGTAAACGGGCAGTAAAGTTTGAACTTCCACCAAGCGCCAGAAAACACATTGAATTTTACCTTTGTGGTCAAACTGTTAATACAAAAACATTCGAAATTTTACAACCGAGAACATTAAGACAACTGACTGTAATGCATTTATCTGGAGATCAGCATGAAATACATTTAGATCTTTCTAAACAAAATCATCTTCAGATTCTTGAGCTGTCAGACTGTAAAAATATTAAAATATGTGGCCTCAACAAGGAACAACTAAAACAGGTACACATTGTTAATTGTAAGTGCGTGTTTGATTTCTATATTTCATCAAATGCAAGCAAGCTAAGCGAAATTAACCTGCAAAGTCTTACCTGTAATATAACATCACTCGTTTCGTTAATAGAACAGGCCTCTTTAGAACAACTTACTTTGAAAAGTGTAACTCATTGTCAGTCTGAAGTTGATGAAGGTCAAACGCATGAAATAGATGTAAATCTTTCTAAACAATCTCATCTTCAGTTTCTTGAGCTGTCAGACTGTAAAAATATTAAAATATGTGGCATCAACAGTGAACAACTTAAACAGGTACACATTATTAATTGTAAGTGCGTGTTTGATTTTGATTTTTCATCAAATGGAAGCAAGCTAAACGAAATTAACCTGCAAAGTCTTACCTGTGATATAGAACCACTGGCTTGGTTATTAGAAAGAAAGACCTCTTTAGAACAACTTACTTTGAAAAGTGTAACTCATTGTCTGTCTGAAGTTGATGAAGGTCAAACGCATGAAATAGATGTAAATCTTTCTAAACAAAATCATCTTCAGATTCTTGAGCTGTCGGACTGTAAAAATATTAAAATATGTGGCATCAACAGTGAACTACTTAAACAGGTACACATTATTAATTGTAAGTATGTGTTTGATTTTGATACGTTATCAAATGCAAGTAAGTTAAGCGAAATTAACCTGCAAAGTCTTACCTGTGATATAGAACCACTGGCTTGCTTATTAGTAAGAAAGACCACTTTAGAACAACTAACTTTGAAAAGTGTAACTCATTGTCGGTTTGAAGTTGATGGAGGTCAAACGCATGAAGTTGCTGTAAATATTTCAAGACAAAATCATCTTCAGATTCTTGAGCTGTCAGACTGTAAAAATATTAAAATATGTGGTCTCAACAAGGAACATCTCAAACAGGTACACATTGTTAATTGTAAGTGCGTGTTTGATTTCTATATTTCATCAAATGCAAGCAAGCTAAGCGAAATTAACCTGCAAAGTATTGCCTGTAATATAACATCACTCGTTTCGTTAATAGAACAGGCCTCTCTAGAACAACTGACTTTGAAAAGTGTAACTCATTGTCTGTCTGAAGTTGATGAAGGTCAAACGCATGAAGTTGCTGTAAATCTTTCAAGACAAAATCATCTTCAGATTCTTGAGCTGTCGGACTGTAAAAATATTAGAATATGTGGCCTCAACAAGGAACATCTTAAACAGGTAGACATTGTTAATTGTAAGTGCGTGTTTGATTTCTATATTTCATCAAATGCAAGCACGCTGAGCGAAATTAACCTGCAAAGTCTTGCATGTAATATAACATCACTCGTTTCGTTAATAGAACAGGCCTCTCTAGAACAACTGACTTTGAAATGTGTAACTCATTGTCTGTCTGAAGTTGATGAAGGTCAAACGCATGAAATAGATGTAAATCTTTCTAAACAAAATCATCTTCAGATTCTTGAGCTGTCGGACTGTAAAAATATTAAAATATGTGGTCTCAACAGTGAACTACTTAAACAGGTAGACATTGTTAATTGTAAGTGCGTGTTTGATTTCTATATTTCATCAAATGCAAGCACGCTGAGCGAAATTAACCTGCAAAGTATTGCCTGTAATATAACATCACTCGTTTCGTTAATAGAACGGGCCTCTTTAGAACAACTGACTTTGAAATGTGTAACTCATTGTCTGTCTGAAGGTGATGAAGGTCAAACGCATGAAATAGATGTAAATCTTTACAGACAAAATCATCTTCAGATTCTTGAGCTGTCGGACTGTAAAAATATTAAAATATGTGGCCTCAACAGTGAACTACTTAAACAGGTAGACATTGTTAATTGTAAGTGCATTTTTGATTTCTATGTTTTATCAAATGCAAGCACGCTTAGCAAAATTAACATGCAAAGTCTTGCCTGTAATATAACATCACTCGTTTCGTTAATAGAACAGGCCTCTTTAGAACAACTGACTTTGAAATGTGTAACTCATTGTCTGTCTGAAGGTGATGAAGGTCAAACGCATGAAGTTGCTGTAAATATTTCAAGACAAAATCATCTTCAGATTCTTGAGCTGTCAGACTGTAAAAATATTAAAATATGTGACATCAACATTGGACAACTTAAACAGGTACACATTGTTAATTGTAAGTGCGTGTTTAATTTTTATTTTTCATCATTTGGAAGAGAGCTAAACGAAATTAACCTTCAAAGTCTTACCTGTGATATAGAACCACTGGCTTGCTTATTAGTAAGAAAGACCTCTTTAGAACAACTTACTTTGAAAAGTGTAACTCATTGTCAGTTTGAAGTTGGTGAAGGTCAAACGCATGAAATAGATGTAAATCTTTCAAGACAAAATCATCTTCAGATTCTTGAGCTGTCAGACTGTAAAAATATTAAAATATGTGGCATCAACAAGAAACAACTTAAACAGGTACACATTGTTAATTGTAAGTGCGTGTTTGATTTCTATATTTCATCAAATGCAAGCAAGCTAAGCAAAATTAACCTACAAAGTCTTACCTGTAATATAACATCACTCGTTTCGTTAATAGAACAGGCCTCTTTAGAACAACTTACTTTGAAATGTGTAACTCATTGTCTGTCAGAATTTAATGAAGGTCAAACGCATGAAATAGATGTAAATCTTTCAAGACAAAATAATCTTCAGATTCTTGAGCTGTCAGACTGTAAAAATATTAAAATATGTAGCATCAACACTAATCGCCTTCAATGCGTTAATATTGAAATATGTCCTAAAACATTAGATATTGAACTTTTAGCAAGTTCCAGAGGTCTGACTGAACTCGCCTTTAAATTTCAAGTATAAGGCGATGAATACCAATGCAGGAAACAAGTAGGTAATGTAGTACATACATTACATCAACTAAGAATACGCAAGTAACAATATTCCGAAAAACAAGAGATTTCCAAAATTATGTTAACTGAACTAAAAATCACAGACATAGATATCTGGCGTAAATTTTTTGATATTTTTCTTACAAACCAAATATGTGATGCGGACTTCAAAGAAAGGTGTTTGCTTTTATGGGATTTTGCTTAAGAAATGGAATTGTTTAGTGTTACAAATGATGATGGGGAATTTTGTTTTTGGTTTCAACGGAGAAAGCCGGAAAGAGGAATATGACGTCATTGTTTTCGAAAGTTATATTTATAATGTATGATGATTCCAACAGAATTTGAAAATTTTTTGTATAAATATAATTTTAGAAAATTAGAAATGACATAATTAGTTCACCTTTTGTATGGAAACATTATATGATGCAGCTGCGAGACGACAGTAAATATATTTGAAATAATTATAGTGTACAAGGATAATTGCTTTTGTTGTACTCAAACAGATGTGTTAATGTAGATCTATATGTATGTTGCATTTTAATTATGTATATTGACATTGACAAAAGAAAAATATGTAAGTAACAATGCAATTATTCATTATTGTCCGTACATATAATTCGTGAAATTATTTTATTTCATTATTCATGACTGTTTATTACTTGCAATTTTCATAAGAATTAGTGTTTGAAATTATTTTAGTCCAACAGAACTGCATTATTTCCAATAAATACTCGTAGTACCAAATTTAATGTGTTAATCGGCTTTGATTAGTCTCATAAGGAAATTGACTTTTTTACTTAACATTATTCTAAACATTTGTACATATGTTTTTGTTCATTTTAAGAATTTACAAAATTAAAATGTGCGCTAATTTTTGCAAATTCTTACAAAGAATATAAATAAATATACAAAGTGTAAAAATGTCCCCTATTTCTCAATGAATGATTTAGAATGTAAGGGATATAAATTGTCAATTCTTACATATTTTGGTGATAAATATAGCAAATAATATTTTGTTTTGCTGATAAACGTAGTGAATTCTTTCATATCTTTGTGATAGAAATTGTAAATTCGTACAAATAGTCCATTCTGTCTTTTTCGGTAAATTATATAAATAGTAAATTCTTTCATATTTTGATAATATCAATAGAATAGTTAATTGTGTCATATTTAGTGATACAAATAATACATTTTGTTATATTTTGGCAATATAAATAGAACATCATGTCATATTTTGTTATACAGATAGTCAATTATCTCATATTTTGGTGATATAAAAGTCAATTCTATCATATTTCAATGATATTAATAGTATTTTTGTCATATTTTAGTGATGCAAATAGAATAGTCAATTCTGTAAGATATTGGTGATTGAAACAAATTGTAAATTCTGCCATATTTTGGTAATATGAATAGTATTATACTTTGGTGATATATATAGTCAATTATGCCACATTTTAGTGATAAAAATAGTAAATTCTTTCATATTTTAATATAAATGAAATAGTAAATTCTGTCATTTTTGGTGATATACATTATAGTAAATTCTGTTATATTTTGGTGATATAAATAGTCAATTATGTAATATCTTAGCGTTATAAATATTCAGCTCTTTCATATGTTGGTGATGTAAATAGGATATTCTTTCATAGTTTGGTGATATAAATAGTCAATAATGTCATATTTTATTCAAAATGTCACCTGGATTGTGAAAATACTCGTATATGCATTACCAATCTATAACAGTTCTCAATTTCCAAAAAAAAAAAAAAAAAAAAAAAAAAAAAAAAAAAATGAATTTTGATTTGATTTGAATTGAATGCAAATATTATCTTAGTCCTATTTTGTTATATTTTATTTTTGTTAATAAGAAATCGTTTGATATT